GACTAAAACTCAGCCAAAACGCTGAAAATCTTCAATGTTTACTCAAGTTTGGGCCTATAAAAGATAATGTCACAGTTTTTCAATGACCATGAAATTTAGAATCCGGGTAGTTAGTTAATCAATTGTGACCCTGAAAAAAAAATTGTATATTGTAGATTGATCTATATGTTATCCATGCTATATGTTAGACTTTTGATCAAAGTAAAGGTGGGGATACCAGAGAGCTTCAAAGTAGGATGGTACCCTCACAAAATAACTGGGTCGAGTCATCTTAACATGCGAACATGACGTAGATGGAAGAAGTGACGTCAGGCATCCGAGTATGACACGGAGTCCCACGCGGAAGACGTTGCAGGGGAAAATTCAGAACTAAATTTTCTTTCATTATGGCTCCGAGAACACTAGGCTGAGGAAAGTTTTGAGACAAACAAGAAGAGATCAGTGAAATGACAAAATCTCTCTCCGTTACTAGTGAAAATACATCGAGTTTCTAAGAAATGTGATCTCTTCCCTTACACCCCACAGTCTAGTCACCTTTTGATTTTTGAAAATAGTTTTTGATACTCAACCATTTTGTGTCGTTCAAAAAGAAGTTATAGCCATATTTAAACTAAGAGTGTGATCGTCTGGCTTTTCTTGTCGTCTCCTTACTCTTTATATGATTCTGTTTCTTTCCTTTGTTGTTGAGCTTGTTGGACCAAAAAACTTGCGTTATAGCCTTATTTCAGTCAAATAGCTGGAATTTTTGGCAGTTACGTTTTCAAGAATCAACCGAGATAGGTATAAAAAGACGACAGCGAGTTAAAATTGTTAATGATCGTTCTCTGATGAGCCTTCAAAGACGAACTCCGTGGGCAAGAAAAAAAATACACTGAAGGTCGTCGACCCGTTTTGGTAAGTTGTTTTTGTAGCTGTTTCCCGCCAAAGTTCACATTGGACGAAGCAAGATAAGCGTGATCCAAAATCAAGACGGGTCCCGATAGTCTTGGGAGAAGAGTTTCCTTAAGATCGGATGAATGAACTTTAATGTATATGATGGCTCCGTCAGAGAGAACAGTCAGTGACTCAACATATTGCCCTTTCCCGGAGTGACGGCGTCCTTCTGAACGGTGTTGAGTATCGGACAGGAAACTTCCCTTATGTTGCCAGTGGCTACTTCCGGTTAGCATTTTATTACTCAGTCACCACTTTACCTCCTTCCTAAACCACTTGTCTTTCAGCTCCTCCAAAAGTAGTAAACGAAACAATAAGACAAAGGTGCTTTACTGTACTGATGTTTTTATTTGGCATCAGGCGATTCATAGCACTTACAAGATGACTCCTACTTTACTTACTCATTTGATATTGAAACGGTAAATACGTTTATACACTCTCGTAGTTTCCTCGCAAACCATACCCGCGATTCCAGACCGAAATGGATAAAGTCTATACCCGTTTTGAGACCAAAACGGGGCAAAGACCATACCCTTTGGGGTGGTACACACTAATATCGCTTATATAAGAGAGTACTCACCCGGGAAAACGGCCCCCGCCATTACTCGACGCCACTAATGGTTTCCCCGCGAAACGACGTCTGAGGAACAACTGCAAAACGTCCATACAGATGACGTGTCACTACCCAGATCAGAGTAGCAAAGATCCATCGCCGCACGACCAGTCAGAAGGACTACCTTGATCTGAGTAGTGATACGTCATCGCTGTGCGGGAATTTCTGCAGTTGTTCCTCAAAAGTCATTTCGAGGGGAAATCAGAAACTAGCCGTGGTAGTGTCTCGAAATATCACAGGCTACAGTAGGGGAATATAGTATTTCAATCAATAGGGACTTGACCCTCTATTTGACGCAAAGGTGACCAGTTAACACAGGCTTGAAAGAAATTTGAGATGGGTCGTTTAAGAACTTAGAGTTTTGAACAATAAGGAATTTTAGCAGAGTAAAACTGTGGTTTGTGTACGCATTGTTTCCCTATTTGATTAACTAGTACGATGGTCAAGGTTATGCAATTTTACGACGGACACGCTTGCAAGGCCTTGGTTTCCAATGGAGAAGTTTTTCTCGATCGATGATCTCGAAATAGTTTAGTACAGGTATTCGTTTTGCCGCTTACACGCAGATGTGCGAGGAATCTTAAAGAAAAAGCCAGATCTGGAAGCTTGTCAGGAGATTTTGATTGTAGAATCAAAGTCAATACATTCATCCAAACAAATGTTCTCGTAATGCCTGATGTGTATTTAAGCCTGTGNATATCACAGGCTACAGTAGGGGAATATAGTATTTCAATCAATAGGGACTTGACCCTCTATTTGACGCAAAGGTGACCAGTTAACACAGGCTTGAAAGAAATTTGAGATGGGTCGTTTAAGAACTTAGAGTTTTGAACAATAAGGAATTTTAGCAGAGTAAAACTGTGGTTTGTGTACGCATTGTTTCCCTATTTGATTAACTAGTACGATGGTCAAGGTTATGCAATTTTACGACGGACACGCTTGCAAGGCCTTGGTTTCCAATGGAGAAGTTTTTCTCGATCGATGATCTCGAAATAGTTTAGTACAGGTATTCGTTTTGCCGCTTACACGCAGATGTGCGAGGAATCTTAAAGAAAAAGCCAGATCTGGAAGCTTGTCAGGAGATTTTGATTGTAGAATCAAAGTCAATACATTCATCCAAACAAATGTTCTCGTAATGCCTGATGTGTATTTAAGCCTGTGAATCAGAATACTCCAAAAATCAGGAATAAATTATTAGTCCGGTAAAGTCTCTTGTGTAAACCTACCCTAAGAAAGTTCAGAAATACATTAGTTTGGAACTATGCGCATGAAAGTTAACCAATCTCGTTCCTTGTTACCCCGACCTGTCCAGCTGGCAAATTGGCAGGTTGGGTGCTGACCAAAAGGATCTCAGCCTCTCGGAACGAGATTGGCATTTACTTTTGTATATACCGGCGTTATATTACGTCAACGACCCGGGCGTAGACTTAGTTGCCCGTGAAAGTCTTAATACGAGGAAATAAGGGAAGGGTGTTTAGGAACCCCTTGAACATTCCTTAGTAGGCCCCTGGCACTTCACAGCGCTAAAGTAAATAGGAGTTTTAATAAAATGACAAGTCCGGGTCGAAGTCTATTATTCTTCTGTTTTATTTTCGTTTTCAGTAAAGGCGACTGACTACCTCTGGATCGGAATTCTTGTCAATAGTCTGCTCGAATTTTAAGTGAGTGCCCTTTCTCCTACATCCAGGGCTGTTAGAAGGTCGCCGTTTAGTGGTAATGCTGGGTTAACCGCTGTGAAGGGAGCACATGAGTTGTCCCCGAAACAAGGCCTGGTTTTGCGGCCATTTCCGAGTTCCAAATTTCAAAACGTGTCTAAGTGGGAAACCCTTTATTCAATCATGAAATGGGTGATAAGAAAAAAACAGAGACTTGGGGTAACTCGGACATGGTCTATTAGACACATCATATTCCTATTCTCGCTACTGAACTGAAACCAGCTGGCTATCGAAGTTATGCAATTAAGAGATCGAGTGGCATTCAAAATGAAAATATTGCGCGCATGAGCCTTTAGTTACCTTTAATCCAGATCCAGTTTATTTTAGGGAGCTTTTAACGCCTCGGCAATGACTGAAAGACGTGGCGAAGATAGCATTTATCGGTGAAAGCAAACGAAGAAATGACATTCTACAATGTCGCTAATGATTGCTTATTTTCTTTGTTACAGGGAAACGCACGGAACTGTCAGACGAAATCATTGATTAAAATTAAGACGACTTCCCCTAGAATTTTTATAACTCTAAAAAATAAGAAGATAAATGAAAAAGTCCAAGTAAAAAAAAAAAACAGAAGAAAAATAACCCTGGCGGCCATTCTAAACTAAGATATACAGCTATTTCGAGAAAGGTTGTCGGAAAAAATGTGCACGCGACAACCCCGAAAGGTAATATGGGATGTGATCAATACACTGTTCCTAACGACTGTAGCTGTCGAACCTACTTTGGTTGCTTTCCATTANATGACTGAAAGACGTGGCGAAGATAGCATTTATCGGTGAAAGCAAACGAAGAAATGACATTCTACAATGTCGCTAATGATTGCTTATTTTCTTTGTTACAGGGAAACGCACGGAACTGTCAGACGAAATCATTGATTAAAATTAAGACGACTTCCCCTAGAATTTTTATAACTCTAAAAAATAAGAAGATAAATGAAAAAGTCCAAGTAAAAAAAAAAAACAGAAGAAAAATAACCCTGGCGGCCATTCTAAACTAAGATATACAGCTATTTCGAGAAAGGTTGTCGGAAAAAATGTGCACGCGACAACCCCGAAAGGTAATATGGGATGTGATCAATACACTGTTCCTAACGACTGTAGCTGTCGAACCTACTTTGGTTGCTTTCCATTAGGACTCGCGAACATATGTCCATGGCCTCTCGTGCCATTCTTTCAAATTTCTTTGGAGAACAGGGCAGACAAAACCACCCACAATACCTTTCAGGATTGTCGCGTGCACTTTTTTCGACAACCGTTCTCAAAACAGCTGTATCATAACTACGCATCATAAGTTTTTGACATGGAATACCGTGTTTGAAAAAGTTCGCTGTGATAGCTAATATAATATTTAAGAGGACGACAGAGTAGTTACGGTGTTCTTTCTTCTTATTCTCGCAGATCTACTGACTATGTTATTACATGTATGTGCTGTACTTACAAAACATTATTTCTCACCCACAAACTGTCTTGTGCTTGACACGAAAACTAAGATGACACAGTATTTGATTGGACTATGGCATCAACGTTAACTTTACATTATTGTCACTTTAACTCCGAACTATTACGAAAAAAACGATATAAACATGCTACAAAATATTTTTATCAGAACTGATCACTGGTCGTGCACTAAATCTCATGACCTGTTTACTTAATTCATCGTAAGTAGATGTCGATAATTAGTGGTGCATTATTTCTAACAATGTGTGCTTTAATAACTAAGATTTAAGTTGAAAGGCAAGGTTATGAATTGAAGCTTGTGGGATCCTCCTTGGAACTGATGGCACTGCTGTAGAACCAAATAAAAACAAATGAAACTTATTGGTATTAGAACCGATACTCATTTTTTGTATAGCTTTTAAAAATGATGTTCGCTGATACCTAGGACATACAACTTGCCTCTATGAAGGCCGAAAAACAAAACAAAAATTACTGTTACCAAATATGCATTAGCCTCTAAACAGTCAAGTTTTCCAGCCACTTCAATTGGCCATGATTCAAGATTTAGATAAATCTTAGCGCCTGTACCTAAGCAATCTCCACAACGTTTGCACAAGTAGGTTTAAAGAAATCACATTGTGTCTTAAATGGTCACTTATGCTCCAGAGGCCTGTTCTCAAAATACCAAGGATAAAATATCGTTGGTTCTCGGTTCGCTTCGCAACGATGTCACGGACTATTTAACATGTAAAGAGCCCTTCGGGGGATTCTAATACCACTAATCATGCTAATAAACATTGCGCATGATCGCATTCTACTTTCTACGATGGCGCGGAGGGTTGTAAGGAAATATCTCGTAGTCAAGAATAACCAACTCTGCGCCGTTAATTTTTGAAAATTAAGGCATTATACTAGGTATCAAGGAATTTTTCATACAGTAAAAGTCCGCTTATGTAATCAACAATGTTACAATTTCAGCGGTAGCCGTTAGAGAGAATGTATGAGAACCGCTCAAATTGGGCCTGATCTCAGGTTACAAAGAAAAAACCTGGTCTTTTTGACGAGGTTCTTAGATAAGAAAATAACTTAACGTTTTTTTTTTGTTTGGGCAAAAACATGTGCAAAAAGAACGTCTGTCGCAATAACGTAGGCATGGTCTACTGTGCATTATAACTATAAATCAGCTTCTTACAGTTGAAGGAACAAGGACTCCTACGTGCGATAAAAACTTAAGAACATTGTAAATCTAAACTCTGGTGGGTCCTTGATAATAAAACTGATATCACTCTTATGTTCGTTTAACTCGACACTAAGGAATATATAAAGCTGCTTTTATCAAATGAGCAAGTTCCCGCTTTCCCTTCTGACCCACACTGCCCCGTCCTACCTGAACTACGATTTTCGCCAGAACTTAATGAAAATAAATCAAAAAATATATAAATAGATAAGTAAAGAGCTAACCATTATTAGCAACACCTCTCATCATGTTCTTGTTCCAGTTTTGTAGATTCCTGAATCCCAATACCTATTCGTCCTTCTCCTGTTTGTCGTCCGTTGTCAACTTCAACTCTTGTCTGCTCTCTCGGCCCGGCCTCTAAAATCTTCAAAGTCAGTATTGTGAGGATACCACCGACTACTCCGCCAAGCAATGCACTGAAGAAGAAAACTATAGCGAAAACCATCTCTGTTATTTTCTGTATACAGCAGGAGACTCTTCTATTTTTATCTACCTGATAACCTCTAAGAAATAAGTTTGTACTTCAAAATGACACAACTAAACTGATGAAATATGAACCAAAATATACTCCTATATGAGCACACGCATAATTGATCGGACTGAGATTTCAACTCAACCAATGAGAGTTTGGAATTCTCACGGAGACGGAAGTGAAGTACTTAGGCCACTTTTAAGTCCCTCGAGAGTCCATGATGACTACCTAATTAAATATGCAATTTTGTAAAATGCTATTTAAACCGGTTTGCTTCCATCAGTGATTCTGAAAAGCGAATTACAAATGTGGCTAAACGAAAAAAACGCGAAAAACGTGATTTCAAATAACACATGACATTGCTTCGTTAATGACGTCACAAAACACGTTTTCGTAGACGGGGAAGGGTTGCAAACCTTAATCTTAGGAATTTTCACCACCAAAATGTTACATAAACAGTGTGAATTGTGAATTCGCCTTGTATGATTGGAAATGTTATTTATCCTATTAGTTATTTAACTAATCAACGAGTCACCTGACCCTTTTCCCCTTATTTACCGATTCCTATATAACGTAAACACACCTACAAGGCGACTTTTTCAGAACGTTTTTAATAGCCTCTGAAATATACCTAAAAGAACTTGTTGGTCTTTCATTATCCTTTCCCCATTTTAGAGTAAACAATTTGACTGTTAATTCTCAATTATAAGTCACGTGACAAAAATTGGAGCTTCTAAAATGTCTCACATTGCTAAGGCCATTAAGCTACATTTGTAGTTCAATTTTCAGGATCATTGATAAAAGCAAACCGTTCCAAATAACATTTTATCAAAATATGCATATTTAATTACATAGTCATGCCTTGTGTAGCCTGTGTAAAATTATTGCTTAAAAGGACACCAAAAACAGTATAAATATTGACCTTTTCAAACGCCGTGCCCATAAAGGAATAATGGGAATCATCACTTTCATTTGTTCATTAATTTCAGGATGTTAATTATTTAATTCATCTTGGATAATTTTTCAATAGTTTTAGGTGGAATTGCTTTAGCAACTGATTGTTAATTTTTCTTAAAACTTTCAGAAGGATATTTCATAAACTTTTTGCATTGTACTATATATAATTAGCGAGCACTCCAGACTTCACATTCTCAGTCAGGATCAGAAAAATTGAACTGCAGTTTCATTTTGTTGAAATAGTTTGGATGGAAACCCACCGACCATGAGCAAGGTTCGTGATACACCAATCACTCACAACCATGGTGGTAAAAGTTCGACTCAGTGAATCTACACTACCGTCTGATGAAGACCTGCAGTACGCGGTCGAAACGAAACTCCTTATTCGCATAATCCAAGATGAACAATATGTTTCATGACTTACTCAGCAAGTTGCTCTAAATCAATCCCATTATTGTATTACATGTGAAAAAGCCTGGTGAAAATTTCACCTTTTTCCATTAATCCTGAATTTCTCGCAATCTGCTCTAAATCTTTCCGGACTAATGACACTGCAGAATGTATACTCACGGTTTATCTGCTGCCTACGTACAAACAAACAAACTTAACTCAGTTCACCATCATTTCAATTGTTCTCTCATTCTATTCACAAGCTCTTCTCGGTCTGTTGCCTGCGTCGAATGGCGACATAGCGTNAAAAGCCTGGTGAAAATTTCACCTTTTTCCATTAATCCTGAATTTCTCGCAATCTGCTCTAAATCTTTCCGGACTAATGACACTGCAGAATGTATACTCACGGTTTATCTGCTGCCTACGTACAAACAAACAAACTTAACTCAGTTCACCATCATTTCAATTGTTCTCTCATTCTATTCACAAGCTCTTCTCGGTCTGTTGCCTGCGTCGAATGGCGACATAGCGTGACTCAAAGTTATATCACAACCTCTCAATCCACCAATTTGTATCCTGATTGAGAACAATAAAAAGTTTATTGAAATATCCTTCTAACAGTTTTAAAATAATTAACTATCAGTTTCTAAGAGCGGAAACACCTAGTTGCAATTCCCATATACTACACTTTAACAAAAGTACCCACATTTTGCGACCGGAGAGTTGCGACGTCAGAAGTCTAAGTTCTCACCTTTTTCCAAACACAGGGGCTCAAAAATTGTTGCAAAGTCTTGTTTAGCCTCCATATCGGCCTCATATCCCTAAGTACTGGGTCCCCTTCCCTCGGGGATGCGAATGAGCATACAGTCTCAACACTGAAAAACTAGACACAACAGTCGAGGCCCATTCCGAAACCCTGCTAGCCCTGAAAAACGTACTGACACATACAAAACAACTTAGGTGCCTATTACTCCAATTCTAACAATACAATTATAACATATATTTTTTTTAAATACAATTATAAGTCTAACTAGTAGACGCTTCATGTTGGAATCAGCAGACAGATTGACAAGGTGGTTGATGGACCTCTACCGTCACACAGTCATTGCCCGTCCGATTCCTCGTTGGAAAGATCTTTCCCCTTTGGCTTTTAGGAAATCCGTACATTGAGTCTAAAGGACAAAAAGCTGATATATAAAAAATGGGCTAGAAATCGAATATCATCGAAAATGTGTTAGAGTAGGGTATGGCGGGAAACTTCAAAATATCTGGGTGAAATCCATCTTTTGAACACATACAAACCTCCTGACACTCCAGTCTGTGGATGAGAAAATTGTCTTAACATGCGAACATAACGAAGGCGGAAGAGGTGACGTCAGGCATCCGAGTATGAGACGGAGTCCGACGAGGAATAACCAGAGGAGGATGGAAACGTGAGAGAACACTAGGCTGAGGAAAGGTTAGAGACAACAAGAAAGAGATCAGTGAAATGACAAAATCTCTCTACCTTACTCGTGACAATACGGAATTGACTTTTTATACACGAAAAGTGAAACGCCCGATCTAGTTTCTAAGAAATGTGATCTCTTCCCTTACACCCCACAGTCTAGTCACCTTTTGATTTTTGAAAATAGTTTTTGATACTCAGCCACTTTGTGTCGTTCAAAAAGAAGTTATAGCCATTTTTAAACTAAGAGTGTGATCGTTTGGCTTTTCTTGTCTTCTCCTTTCTCTTCATATGATTGTTTCTTTCCTTTGTTGTTGAGCTTGTTGGACCAAAAAACTTGCCTTTAATATAGCCTTATTTCAGTCAAATAGGTGGAATTTTCGACAGTTAAGTTTACAAGAATCAACCGAACTAGATATAAAAAGACGACAGAGAGTTTAAATTGTTAATGATCGCTCTCTGATGAGCCTTCAAAAACGACCTCCATGGGCAAGAAAAAAACACACTGGAGGTCGTCGACCCGTTTTGGTAAGTTGTTTTTGTACTGTTCCTCGTCAAAGTTCACTTTGGCCGAAACAAGCTAAGCGTGATCAAAAATCAAGGCGACTCCCGATGGTCTTGGGAGAAGATCTAGAGTTTCGTTAAGATCGGATGATTGAACTTTGATGTGTTTGATGGCTCCGTCAGAGATAGCCTGTTCCATGCTCCGACACAGTGGTGAAAAGTCGTTCAGTAAAAAGAAATGCGAAAAACGCCGCGCCGTCGCGCGCGTCTTATTTTCGCTTTGCTCGTTTAATACGTCCGCACTCTATACTATCTGAGAGCCTGGCACAGGCTACGTCAGAGAGAACAGTCAGTAACTCAACACATTGTCCTTTCCGATGGGACTGTGTTCATTCCTTTCCCGGAGTGACGGCGTCCTTTAACAGTGTTGAGTATCGGACAGGAAACTTCCCATATGTGTTGCCAGTGGCTGCTTCCGGTTAGCATTTCATTACTCAGTCACCACTTTACCTCCTTCCTAAACCACTTGTCTTTCAACTCCTCCAAAAATAGTTAAAGAAACAACAAGACAAAGGTGCTTTACTGTACTGATGTTTTTATTTGGCATCAGGCGATTCATAGCACCTACAAGATGACTCCTACTTACGTTCGTTACATGTTACAAGTTTTTTTTGGTTTGTTTTTCTCTTTTTTATATAAAATTCCTAGGTATATTATGCAAGGTATTACATCTCGCGTCTGTTAAACTATCAATGGTAAAATAAAATACCACAATTTTGACAACTGCTGATTAATTGTTTCAATCCCATCATAGGTATTTCTTAGCGTTAAAACAGCATCACCTCATCAAACATAAGTTGCCTTCAGTTAGACATGCTCCAGGTCTGATCTATTCATCTTCATGAACTCATCCATTTGTCAGTGTGATAACTGATTGTTCAAGTCCAAAAACATAAAAAAAAAACAATTTAAGTTTTATAGGGACCTTAAGATCCGACGGCGACATCAACGAAAACGAGAGAAAAGAAATAGGTTTAATATGCACATTTCGAGATAGCGGTTTTGTAGTGTTGTAACGTCTTGGCCAAGACTACGACCCTGGCTTGCAAATTCTGACTTACACTGGGCTCCTGGTTACGTACCACTTCCGTGAGGATGTCAATGAGGTATACACTGTACCTCTGGTCAGTTTAATAACATTTTCAAAACGCCCTCACAGTTAGTAAGCAGCAAAAAGGAGGCTAAGTCTGTAAACCCTTTTACTCCCAAAAGTGGCAAAAGTAAAAGAAATTCCTCATTTTATTTTGCAAAATGCTGAAAAACAAATAGCACCATGTTAAAGTACTGACAAAGAGATTTCAATTGAATGGTCACACGACAGGATTTCACCCACAGACTCAAAAGTTACAACACTTGTAATTCCCGTTCTCTCCCATCCGTTCTAGGAATGAAGGTGTTACTTACCAGAATGTACCATAAGGTAAACATTTTCAATCAAGTAGGTTGTCAATCTTCACAGCACATGGTCAAAACTTGACTTTATACCGTACACAATAAAAACGAGGACCTTTTATACCCTAGACCTAGTGTTTCTGTTATTTATGAGGTTATGACAGCAAAAAATCGTCGTTGTACGCTTTCAAGGTACGCCCTCTTTTGTAAGTATAGTGTTCGT